GGACGTGAAAGGTGGTAAGGAGGCTAGGGGAAAGAACTTAAGGTCCGTTAAATAGGGTGCAAACCCTAAAAATTAGGGTTTTCATGCTCAACCTCTACTCTTCAAATTGGGTCCTCCAACTCGTTGAGTATATACTAGAATCCACACGGCTTTATCAGTCTCTACACGGCGAGTTGGGGTAACCAACTCGTCGAGTAGGTCTAGAATTTTGAATATGAAAGCTTTAAATAAATACCTGGGAGTTGGGATGTTACACCAAAACTGATAACATTATAGTCTAAACTCATATACAAATTCTAAACTACAAGTTGCGAAAAAACACATGTCAATCCGAATTCAAACGAATTAGATATGCATGTTTTAAAATTTTCACAGAATATAAAAAAGCTAAAAAACTAAAAACTTTCAATTTTTATACATCGACTTTAGGTGACTTTAAGTTATTGAATATAAACTTAAAATTAACAAAATTATAGTCTAAAATAAGCAAGTCGTAATCTAAAAAATAAGGCACATGATTTCTTGTATTAGGCCAAGTGGTATACATTGCACGAGAATCTTTGTGGTTGAGCTGGACCATGACCACGACCATGCACACCATCGCGGACGGTCGTGAACGTGCTCCTTCGTGTTGCCGACGACGAACATAAAACGATGAATCAAAATGGTTACCTCCTTCTTGACCGTTCAACGATCATTTTTTAAGTTTTTATTTTATTTTTTATTTTTTACAAAAACTGAATACCTATATAAACCTAATAAAATACTCACCTTTCATCACATTTTACTCTCATTCTATAAACCAAAAAACACATGGAGGATTTGGAATTATTTAAAATTTTTGATTCAGATGAAGCCAGAGAATTCATCTTGACATTCTTGAATGTTGTGCAACACATTCACGATGAAGAAAGTTCTGATGTTGCTCGTACAAGGGCGGTCATCAATCGTGATCGTCAAGCCGCACATGACTTATTGGTACGTGATTACTTTGCCAATAATTGTCTTTACACTGATAACTCATTCAAACGTCGTTTCTGTCTAAATAAAGCTATATTTTTACGAATCAGTAATGCTTTATAAGCCCGTTATGATTTTTTGAAACAAAAAACCCGATCACAGAGGAAGAATAACTTTTAGTAGTATACAAAAGCGTGCGGTTGCGCTTATGTATTTAGGATACGGTATAGCATTTGATTCATCCGACGAACACTTGAAAATATCTAAGAGGGTCGTAGTTAATTGTGTAGATTGGTTTTGTGCATGTGTGTATGAGATTTTTCACCAATAATATTAGCGTAAACCTGCTCCCCGGGATATTGAGAGATTATATTAGGCTCATGAAGAGAGGCATGAATTTTCAGGTATCAGTCTAAATTGTACTCATGTGGCTTGGGAAAAATGTCCAACTGCATGGCGTGGTGAATTCACTCGAGGAGATATACGTGAACCAAGTATAATCCTATAAGCTGTTGCATCTCAAGATTTATGGATATGACATTCTTTTTTTGGAGTTGCAGGGTCTAACGATAACACTAACGTTGTTGGCCAGTCTTCACTTTTCAACGATCTTTGAACCGGCAAAGCACATGATATGACGTTCACGGTGAACGGACAATCGTATAAATATGGTTACTACATTTGTGATGGGATATACTCGGATTATTCTACACTTATGATGGCATATTCGGTTCCTCGGAGTGAAAAGGAAAAGTTGTTCACAAAGAGGCAGGAATCAGCAATGAATGATATCGAGAGGGCATTTAAAGTCCTCAAGCAGACATGACATGTAGTGAAATACGCTACACGACTTTGGGATAAGGATAGAATTAAAAAAAATGGTCCTCACATGTATTATAATGCATAACATGATCATTAAAGATCAATATCAAACGATTTGCACGTATGATCCGGACAACGTCGTCATCCCGCTAGAAGAGTTTGTACCCGGAAAGAGTGAATTTTTATCATGAATTGTTGAAATTCATAACAGCGAAGTGTGTTTCAATATTCGAGAAAATGTCACCAATCATTTGTACCAAGTCAACATGAAAGAAGATTAGTTTTTATTTATTTTTATTTTTTTCAATTTAGGATATTTAAGTTAATGTAATGTTTTTTTTTATTCTAGGTTAATTAAGTAATGTAGTTTGAAGTTGTATTTTTATTTTTATAATTAATGAAAAACTAGTTAAAAAAATTCAATGTTCTTTTTTTTTTCAAAAATTATAAATTTATTGTATTTTTGAATTAAAATTAATAAAAAATGATGTGGGGTGGAGTGGTTAGTGGTGGGTATCCACAGCTATAATGGTTAGTGATGAGTATAACCAATGTTGTCAAGATCGGGATCTTACATATGATCGTTTTTTGTTTTGCAAAACCGTGACCGTAAGATCCTACCGAAAACATTTTAATACATAAAAAAATACATTTTTATCCATCTCCATTTAGTTAACAATAAATTGTTTGAAACATAAAAAATACATATTCAATACATCATTTAGTGACAAATAATTTCATATTGGTATTTTACGTAGTTAGTCCATAAAAAATATTAAAATTTGATTTTAAAAAAATATTCATGATCTTACGATCTTATTATCCGATTTTACAATCTTACCGAAAAACGATCCTAGTAAAACCAGAATAGATTTACCTAATTATAATCGTAGGATTGTACGATAAAAATCACGATTTTGAAAACGATGATATAACCAATGATCTTACCTCGAAGAGGACCATAACTTTGTTGGTGTAATTTACAAGGGCCAAAGTGAAACTTTATCCCGTTTTTTTTGGTAAACGTATTTTGAGGGCACTAAGCAGATCTTTCATAGTTCATACCCTCTCTCCCGACATCTCTATCCCTCTTCAGTGAAGATCTCCGATCATACTACAGTGTAAGTTCCCCTGCCGATTTCATTTTATTCCAATTGGCACACGTACATACACGTTCTAGATTTGAATACCTTAATTACCTGCCGGACATTGCTTCACTCCGATCTTATTAGGGCACAGTTGTGTAGTTGTACATGTCTATGTTGATAAGATGATCCAATTGATGTGTCACATTGTCGTATTCTTGTATCTATCTTTTGATCTTTCTGGTAAAGCATAAAGATTGCGCTTGATTATCATGAAAAAGGCTAGGGTTGCTAATTTCAATTCCCGGTTGGTTGAATGATGTATTTATGTGGATTTCCAGGTATGAAATTCTCAATACTTTATGAAATTAAGATGTAACTATGTCTGAATTCCAGCAAAAGAATAGAATTTCAAGTGGTTAGAGGTTTATAGAGCACATTTAAGTAGTTGTTTATTAAGTAAATGGGGTTAAAAGCTCAAATCGACA